TATTGTGACATAACAAATTAGCACATATTTGGTGATTTAAAACACCTTCTTAGCTCGCAGAAAAAGCTACTTCTGAGCTCGCAGTTCTGTGGGTGAGAAGTCCTGGCACGGCAAGGCAGGACTTTCAGCTCAGGGTCCAGTGAGACTGAAATCCATGTGTAGTCAGTCCAGGCTGCAGTCTGTGCTGGAGGATGGACTCAGGGAGATTCAGCCTCCAATTTTATTCAGATTGTTGGCCAAATTTAGTTCCTTGTGGTTCTAGGACTGAAGACCCCACTTCCTTGCTGACTGTCAGCCAGGGACTATTAACTCCTAGAGACTTCCCACATGCCTAGCCACATAGCCCTCTGCATCTTTAAGGCCAGCAGTGGAGAATTTTCCTCATATGGTTCCTTTTCATGTTTTGAGTCTACTTCTCCAGAAAACACCCATTCTCTCTCTCTCTCTCTCTCTCTCTCTCTCTCTCTCTCTCTCTCTCTCTCTCTCTCTAAACAGGGTATTGCTCTGTCACCTGGGCTGGAGTGCAGTGACGTTGTCATAGCTCACTGCAGCCTCAAACGCCTGGGCTGGAGCCATCCTTCTGCTTCAGCCTCCCAAGTAGCTGGGACTACAGGTGTGCCAGCCCACCCGGCTAATTCTTCTATTTTTTGTAGAGACTGAGTCTCCCTCTTGCTCAGGCTGATTTCGAACTCCTAGCCTCAAGTGATCCTCCTACCTCAGGCCATTCTCTTTCAAGACGGTAAAGCAGGGAATTATAGTTGACTGAGGTCTAATTCAGACGGAAGAAATTAAGCTCAAATCCTGTTTCTTTGCCTGATTTTTAATAACCCACTATCTTTGCAATATCAATTTCAAATAATCATTTCCTGTGTCATAAATTAACATGACTTCCTGATAGAATCTGTCTATCAGGTTCACCCAGGTGAACCACCCCTCCACCTCTGCCATCTCATCTACTCCATCCCCTCCCCCTCCATCTCTACCTCCTCCATCCCCTCCATCCCCCTCTACCCCAGCCTCTAATTCTTTGGAGGAACATTGTATTTGGCCCCGTTAGAGAAGGCTAATAGACAGACTCTATCAGGAAGATAGGTCAGGTTCACCCAGGATAATCTCCCTTTTTAAAAGTCAACTATGTCAAATAATGTAACTTAATCATGAGAGTGACTGTCCTATCATTCACAAATTCCAGGGATTATGAAAGATATCTAGGAAGGGAGCCAGAAGAAAACATAGGAGAATTTTTCTTTTAATTTAAAAATATTTTACAAACTAATTTTTTAGAATTATATTTTTATAACTAGTTTTTAAAATGTCAGAATGAAGAGGGCCTAAGTATGACTCAAAACATATTATAGAAGCCGTAAAAGAAAAAAAATGACAAATTCAACCAATTCTGAAATTTAAAAAATTCTCCTGGCAAAACAAAACTCCTGTAAACAAAGTAAAAAGCAAGTCGAGTTCTAACTGGGAAAAATCTAGCTCATTGAGATCTTAACTAAAGTATAACTTTCCTAAAGTATAAAGATCTCTTACAAATCAATTTTAAAAGAGTAAAATAGTCCAATAGAGTAATGAGCAAAAAATGTGACTAGATAGTTCACAGAAAAAGGAATAAAAATGGTTCCTAAAAGCATGAAAACATTCTTGATTTCACTTATAATTAGAAGAATGCAGTTATATTTTTAACCTGTCAGCGTGGCAAAGATGAGAACATTGATAACACATTGTGTTGGCAAGGCTGTGAAGTTATGGTGGTGAGGTATAGATTGCTCTAACCTCTAAGGAGAGCAATTTGGCAGTAAAAGTCAGGTATCCTTACCCTTTGATCCAGTACATCCACTTCTAGCAATTTATCCCACAGATATGATCATATGTAAGGAAAAGAAAATATCCAATAGAATTGCCGAGGGATTCAGAGCACAGCAGCGGGGGCCGTTGAGCAGTTGCCCTCCCTGCAGCAGATTTCATGGCTGCTACACCTCCAAAATCTGTCCTGACCATCCTTTCACTGAAGTTTGCAGATAACTGCTCGTAAAATGATGACATCCTTGATTTTATAGTTATAGTGACTTGGGCTTTTCTGTTTTTGAAAACTGATTTTTTTTCTTTAATCATTTATTCATTCATTCATCCAATCAGTCTTTATTAAATACTTACTACATGCCAAATGCACAGAACTAAGTGGTACGGACACAAAGGTGAGCAAAACAGACATGGGTCCCAGATTCACGGACTTGCGGGGCTGCTGAGCAGGCAGACATAAATCAATCAGACAGCACATAACTTCAAGCTCTAATAACTGCCATAGGGAAAAAGCGTAGAAAGTTATGCTGCATCTAACACCAGTCTGGGAGATTGGGGAGGGCTCCACAAAAGAAGTGCAATATTAGAAATAAATGCTCATTGAGAAAGCAAAGAGAATATTGTAGATTTTAAAGAACAAAACTAAAATCACCCATAATTTAAGAACTTAGGGATAACCTCACTTAGCAATTTTTTGTCTTTTTTAAAAAATTCAATTGTCTAATACAGCACTGTCCAATGGACATGAATATGAGCCACAGGTGCAATTTTAAAAAATTTTAAGCCTCCTGAGACATTTTATAAAATGACTTTCAGAAGTGCTGCACTCATCTGCATTGCTGGAAATCCTGGGAGTGGATGTCTCATTGTGACTTTGGCAACAATGACCAATGTAATTTCTTCTAAATTTGTTAATTTGATTTGCCAAGTTTGGCATTTCCTTATTTTCACAAACAGTTCAGAAGTCTTTGAATTCTGGAGAGGCTGAACATTCTTTATCCCTCTCTTCATTAGCTCATTCAATTCCAGTTTTACATGACTAATTTTCTTCTCTTAGAAGTGAATAAATGGTGCCTCTTAAATTGAATGAAGTAGGAGTTGCCTGATGCTTGTGTTTATTTTCATAAGCTCATATGGTTTGACTTCAAATCCCAGTGATGGCTGAGCTTTACTGATTGGGTGTTAGAGGACACACGTTGAGGCCTGGAGGTCGCTCAGGGGGAGCTGAGGGCTGGGCAGAAAGGGAGGAGTGGCCACGCCTGCTCTCCAAGCAGGGCGAGTCTGATGCAATGTCAGGTGTGGGAGATGAAGCAGGAAGGCCTGCTGGGCTCCTCTTCCAGCAGAATTTAATATCTTGCTCAGGCTTTATTTTACAGATTTGGGAACTTGGTGATGCTTTAAAGCAGTTTTTTTTTCCCCATATGAGAAGAAAAAATCTGGATACACAGAGCTTTTCAAGGCTAAAGGACTAGAGAGAGGAAAGATGGCCCGTTCCCAGACCTTCTGCATTCGTGCCCCATGTTTGCGCTTCAGCATTAGCCAAAGGTGCAAGACGGTAAAGCAAGAAATTATAGTTGACTGAGGTCTAATTCAGACAGAAGAAATTAAGCTCAAATCCTGTTTCTTTGCCTGATTTTTAACAACCCACCATCTCTGCAGTATCAGTTACAAATAATCATTTCCTGTGTCATAAATTAACATGACTTCCTGATAGAGTCTGTCTCATAAGTGACCAGAACTTCCCACCTCAAAAATAATTAAGGTTGAAAGAGAAGTGACCTCAGCACCCTCGTGGGTATGTGCCCAGAGGAGCCAGCATTCCTAGCTGGGTGGCCCATGTCACAGGCTTCCAGCCACCAGGCCAGCCTGAACACCGCCCAGATAGGCAGGAGGGACTATTTCCCTTGAAGTCCGCTTAGCAGAAAGAGATCAGCCTGGTTCCTCAGAAGCATACCCAGCGAGTCCAGCTGTGTGCAGTAGAGTGGCCAAACAGCTAAGACAGTAAGACTGTTCCAAAGACTTCTCCTGTGCCAGAGGCCACTTGTCATAGCCATGGCTGCTCTGTTCCAACCTGAACCAGGTTTCTGCCAGGTCTCTTCTACCCCTCCACCTCTACCATCTCGTCTACTAAATCCCCTCTACCTCCATCTCTACCTCCTCCAGCCCCTCCAGCCCCCTCCTACCCCAGCCTCTAGTCCTTTGGGGGAACCCTGTATTAGGCCCCCGTAGAGCAGGCTGACCGCTGGCTACCTCCGATTCAGAAATTCTTGCCATAACACCCAGGACATCTTGCATCTGCTTTGTCCCAAAGCCTAAGCAACAATCTCTGAGCCCTGTGCATGTCTGGGGAAGGAAGAGGAACTGGGCAGCTAATTGGGTGTCTAAGCTGGGGAAGAGAAGCACCTTGGATCGGAAAGCCCTCTTCCAGGAAAGACAAGGAAGCCCTTCCCTTCCTTAGCGGTGTCCTTTTCGGAACTAAGGTGTGGATAAGATTTAAAATGTATTCTACTTGCTAATTCAAGTGGAATACACAAAATCCACCCCCCAGTGCCCAGTTCAACCACTTTTGTCGAGGCGGTTTTTACAAATGCTAATGAACCACTCCATTTGGTTTCATAGACAGCACAATCCTCAGGCGTTTTGACACTTGCTAATGATTTAAACTCCCTTTGGCTCCATAAACAGTGGGGGCCAGGCGGGCAGTGCTGGCTGGTGAGAAACCCAGGCGCAGGCTTGCCCAGAAGGACCTGGGGCTGGGGTGGGGCTCTGCCCGCCTTCCCTCCCAGGACACAGGGTGAGTGGGGTAGAAGGAAGGTGAGAAGGTGATGCCCCTTCTTTGGATCTCTTGGTTTCCCTTTGACTCTCCATCTAGAATTCTCTGCATAGGAGGGCTAAACACACACACGCGCACACACACACACACACACACACACACTCATCTCTGCCTCTTGTTGAATAGGCTCTAGGAGGGGCTGGGTGAGAGGTGGGGCACGTGTAGGGGAGACGCCTGATTACACTCCACTCCCAAAGATTAATTCCAAATTCTGTGGGGGTGTGTTGGCAGGCAGGGGAGGCAGGACTAAACAGGGAGGATAAAAACTTGCATCAGCATGATTGCTTTTTAAAAATATGACAGTTTGCGAAAGCTTTATTTTCTGTTTATAGTGAAAGACATTTTTTCTTGCCATTTACAGAGGAATTCAGCAAGAGAGCCTCAGCGCAATTGCAAAACGATCGCACGGAGAACAGGCACAGCCCAGACCACCTGACTTTGACTGGTTCCAGGTGAAGTTTCTTTTGTCATTTGCTGCACTCCCGAGATCTAGTCTCTGCCCTCTCTGTGGGGAGGAGGGGGAAGTTGAGTGGAGGGGACGTTAACTGTAAAGAAACCCGAAGAAAGAGCACAGGAAACTGGTATCACAGGCAGATGCCAGGACCGAGGTTTGCGGGTCCAGGAACGATGAAGGGAGACTGCCACCTATGGACCAGGTTCCAGGGAAGCCTGCACGTGGGGTTTGGTCAGACAGACTCAACACAGAAACAGAGAAAGGAGTCTTCATGGATCAGTCACCGCACCCACTGCTTGCGGACAAAAACACTCTTGACTCGTTCATGACAAAGGATCATTTTCCCAACTTAAAGAACAATTTTTTTTTCACCAGGGTGTGATCTTGTGAGCTAAGTTCTGTATACAAAGAAAATAGTAGACACTTCTGGACCCACCATCAAAATTAAACAGATGTTCATATCATGTAGCTAGTAGTGCCACAGTGGATTCCACTCCTGAACAACACCCGAAATTTTATGGCTTCTTAATAAAAGTGAATCAGCATAATGGATCAGACACAAACACCATCTTGCTGTAGCCATCCCAGTAGAAAAGCAATAGGACAAATAACAACTGGGCAAATATCAAACCCATTACAGAGGATGCCTGGGGTGATGGAATCAGGTACAAAGGGGAAAATCAAGTGAGGTACAATAATAAAACTAGAGAGGGTAGATGGTAATGGCAGTGGGGTAAGAACTGAAGAGTATGATGAAGTCCACTTTGCTCCCAAAGTGCAAAAGAAAAGGAAATTCACAGGATTTGGGCTTAGGCGTAGGGAAGGGCTATTGTGTTATAATCATTTCAATGTATTAGACAGTTGTCCTTTGACATTTGAGATCTGTGTGTTTGTGAATAGCAATTTCTGTTATTCCCATTGTCTTCCATTATAAAATCAGAGCTGCCACACAATATCTACACGATGTTGCAGAAGGAGTGGTGTAGGTATTTGTGTAAGTTTCTGCATATGTGTGTACATGTGTTTATAAACATGTTTGTGCAAGCATGTATTTGTGTGTGTGTGAATAAGCATATGTGTGTGTTTAACAGAGGAGCTCAGGAAGGATTATAGTTCCATCACTCCAAGCCAAAGAGGATTTAAAGGCCCTCTGCCCAGCACTGTGCCACCTAGAGGAACTCTAACCCTGCCCAGGGAGGCGGCACCCGGAATAGGCGCAAATACAGGCCTGGAGCGATCCGAGAGGTAGAGTTGTGCTGTAGAGCCTTCAACAGAAATCAGCAGGTACAACTTGGGGTGCCAGATCTGTACGGTACTTCTGGCGAGTGCCAAAGGAAACACAAGAATGCATCTAACGGAAGCAGGAAGTAGATTTTCTGGTGCAAACCAGGCTGGGTAAGGGAGACTTGCAGAAGACTGCAGCTGGGCAAGACCTGTTCTCTTAGCCCTGCTGGTCGAGGGATATTATCACCAGCTCCTCAGTGAAGAACTAGCGATGGATAACAGAGCCCATTGAATGTCTTTAGGGTTCTTTGTACATACAAACATAAATAGTGCTGAATTCTCATTAGAGACTCAGTTGTTCTAAAACAAATACTCTTCTCATCTTTAATGATGTGTAAGTTCAAGGGCCTCTCTAGATGTTGGAGTATTAGGACACCTGGATTAGGAGGCCTCTCTCTCTCTCCCCTTCATAGATATGAATCACAACCAGGAAGATTTTTGTACCTTTAATGTATGGTAAATAATATGTAATACTATTTCACATATTTTAAATATTATGTAAATTATATTGTATATAAATATTTATTTTGCCTCTTTTAAGCTTATCATTATGTATTTTTATAATGAGTGATCTAGTTCACTCATTATAATGGCCATGCAATGTTGCATTGTATGAATAATCCACATTTTATTTGCCCATTTTGCTCCTGAAAGTCAGATAGCTTATTTCTACTTTTTAGCTGTTACATAGAGTGCTGAAAAGATTGTTCGTTTGCTTGTATCTCCTTGGGCCTATGTATCTCTTGGAAACTTCTAGACACAGAGTGGTGAAATTGTTGATCATAGGTTATGCATTAACTTTACCAGGTGTTGCCAAATTGCTCTCTACAGTGGTTATGTCATTTCATGCTCTTACATCCACTGGCAGTGGATGTAAATTTTCATTTTTCCATTCTTACCAACTGTGGCTCTTGTCAGAGTTTTTTCTTTTAATGTCTACTCTAATAGGCATGAAATATCTATTTGTTTTAATTTGCATCTTCTTGACTAATAATAAGATTGAGCACATTGTCATGTATCTATAGACCATTTATGGTCTTCTACTAATTGTTTCTTCATATCTTTTCCTTTTTTGATGTTTGGTCATTTCTCTTTTCCTTGCTTATTTGTAGGAACTTATTGTATATTTTGAATGGTAATCCTTCGTTGAAAATAAGGATACAGCTATTTTCTCCAAGTCTGTGTTTGTCTCTTTACATTTGTCATTATTTTTTTAAAACTATATAGTTCAATTTTTACTTTTCCATAATAACTTTTGCTTTTGTATTGCTTAAGAAACTCTCTTCTTCCTAGATGTTATATAAATATTTTCCTATAGTTCTAAATGTTTATAGCTTTACCTTAACACACCTGAAATTTATTTTTGTTCATGCAGTGAGGTATGAATCTAATTTTTCCCTTTGAAAATATTATTATATTAACCAATATTCCCTAGTGCCATTTATTGAATACTCATCCTTTCCCTGCTGATTTGCAATATCACCTCTGTCATTTCCAAGTTCCTATTTATATGTGTATCTAGGTTTTTCAGAAAATCTGTTCTATTAACCTATTTATCCAAATGCTGATGCCAGAATATTTTAATTATGATAACTTTATCTTAAGTCTTGATCTCTGTTAGGGTGAATCCCTTTTCTTGACAGTTTGTAATTGCTTTGGTTGTTTTTACCCGCTTTATTCTTCTGAATGGATTTTCTGATCTGCTTATCAAGGTCAGTGAAAAAAGTTTCCTGAGAATTTTGAATAGAATTTATTAAATTTATAGTGTAAATTTAGGACAACTGCTACTGTTAAGCTATTGTCTTTCTGTACATGAACAGGGTATATCTCATTATTTATTCAGATTTTCTTTTATATTTTTTATAAAGTTTTAGAGTCTTCTCTATAAAAGTTTCAAATCTTTTGTTATGTTTATTTCTAGGTATATTATAGAATTTTTAATAGTGTTGTAAATGGTGTATCTTTTTATTTCATCCTCATTCTTTAATGATAGTTTAGCTGATTTTATAGAATTCTAAGTTAACAGTTATTTTCTCCCAACACTCTGAATGTAATTTCTCATTGAGAACTAGGAACAGAAGAAATATTTCTTAACTTGAAAAGGGACATCTACCAAAACCTAAAGCAAATATTATCCTTAATGGTAAAATGCTAAAAGCATCCCATTTAAAGTCAGGAACAAGACAAAGAAAAATATTGGAATGCAATTTCATCCTAATTATTAGGAACAAACAGTTATAAAATGTAATTTTAAAACACACAACATATATCTGGGTTTATTTAAATTAAATCTGAATCTCAGCCTTTTAACTGGTGAACTTAGTCCATTTATATTATTGTGATTATATGCTGTGTAATCACAATATTCTTTTTTTTGTGACTCTTTTTTTTTTTTGGTTTCAGCATATTATGGGGGCCATTTGTGTAACCATCAGCACAATCGACTTCAGAACATTTTCATGAGGCCAAAAAGAAACATTATACCCGTTAGCAGTCACTCTGCCCCCATTTCCCCACAACCTTCTCATCCCTAGGCAGCCACTAATCTGTTTTCATCTACATAGATTTGCTTATTCTGGATATTCAGAGAAATGGAATAATACAATATGTAGACTTTTGTGACTGGCTTCTTTCATATAGCATAATGTTTTCAAGGTTCATCTATGTTGTAATATGTATCAGTACTTCATTCATTTTCATGGCTGAATAATATTCCATTGTGTAGATATATATTTTATTTAGCCATTCATTAGTCGATGGACATTTGTTTCTACTTTTTGGCTACTGTGAATAATGCTGCTATGAACATTCATGTACAAGTGAATTGCAAGTGTGCAATTTTTGTGTGAACATATATATTTCATTTTCTTTCTTCTTTCTTTTTTCTTTCTTTCTTTCCTTTTTCTTTTCTTTCTTTCTTCTCTCTCTTTCTTTTTTCTTTCTTTCTTCCTTTCTTTTTTTTGAGACAGAGTCTCACTCTGTTGTGTGGGGCTAGAGTGTGGTGGCATCAGCCTAGCTCACAGCAACCTCAAACCCCTGGGCTCAAGCAATCTTTCTGCCTCAGCCTCCCGAGTGGCTGGGACTACAGGCATGTGCCACCATGCCTGGCTAATTTTTTCTGGTTTTGGTAGAGACGGGGTCTCGCTCTTGCTCAGGCCGCCCGCCTTGGCCTCCCACTGTGCTAGGATTACAGGCGTGAGCCACCGCGCCTGGTCCGTATTTCATTTTCTTAGGTATATATTAAATTGGGAGTGAAATTAGTGAGTCAAATGGTAACTTTCTATTTAGGCTTTTGAGGAACTCCCAGCCTGTTTTCTAAAGAGGTTGTATCATGTCATATTCCCACCAGCAACGTATGAGGGTTCTAGTGTCTCCACACCCTCGCCAACGCTTATCTCCTGTCTCTGTGATCGTAGCCTTTCTAGCATGTGTGGAGTGGTATTTCACTGAGGTTTTGGTTGTCATTTCCCTAATGACTAATGAAGTTGAGCATCTTTTCATGTGTTTATTGGCCATTTCTATGCCTTATTTGAAGATTCAGACTCTTTGCCCATTTTAAAATTGGGCTGTCTTTTTACAGTAATTAGATATAAGTCCCTTATCTATGATTACAAATATTTTTTCTCATCCTGTAAGTTGTTTTACACTTTCTTGATGGTGTTCTTTGAAGCAAAAAAACGTTTTTTATCTTGATTAAATCTAATTTATGTATTTTTTTTCTTTTGTTGCTTCTACTTTTGGTGTCATCTAAGAAGGCTTTGCCTAATCCATGGTCATGAAGATTTCTTCCTATTTTTCTTCTAAGAGTTTTATAGTTGCAGATCTTCCATTTAGGTCTATGATCCATTATTAGTTAACTTTGTGTATGGAGTGAGGAAGAGGTCCACCTTTACTACTTTACTCTTTTGTAGATGGCTATCCAGTTATCCCAGTGTCATCTGTTGAGAAAGATTCTTCTTTGCCATTTCATGTCTTGCACCCTGGTCAAAAATCAATTGACAGTAAATAAAATAGGGTAAAAATAAAATATATTTAATAAAAATTAACTTTATTGATTTTATTTAATAAAAATTAAATTTTATAAAAAATATTGTTATATTTTAAAAAATAAATATATTATTTTAAGACAAAATGTTTTTGGACTCTAAGTCTATTGCATTAATCTGTATGTCTGTTCTTAAGTCAGTAGTCAGTACCACACTGTCTTTGCTACTATAACTTTATAATACATTTTGGAATCTGAAAGTGTGAGTTCTCCAACTTGGTTCTTTTTAAAAATGGTTTTGGCTATTCTGGGTCCCCTATATTTACATATCAAACTTAGTATCATCTTCTCAATTTCTGCCAAGAAATGCCAGCTGTGTTTTTTTTTTTTTTCTTTTTAAGAGACAAGATGTCACTCTGTTGCCCAGGCTGGAGTGCAGTGGCATAAACATAGCTCACTGCAGCCTCTAATTTCTGGGCTTAAGTGATCCTCCTATCTCAGCCTCCCCAGTAACTGGAACTATAGGCATGCACCATCACATTCAGCTCCAGCTGGGATTTTGATAAGGATTGAATCTGGAGATGACTATGGAGTATTGTCATTTTAACAGTATTAAATCTTTCAGTCCATGAACATGGGATGTCTTTCCATTTATTCGGGAATTCTTTAACTTCTTTCAACAATGTCTTGAGTACTACTTTTATATGTCTTTCATTAAATTTATTCCTAAGAAGATTATTCTTTTTCATTCTAGTATAAATGGAATTGTTTTCTCTCTTTTCTTCTTTCTTTTTGAGACAGGGTCTCATTCCATTGCCTGAACTAGAGTGCAGTGTTGTTATCATAGCTCATGGCAACCCAAAGTTCTGGGCTCAAGCTATCCTTCCAGCTCAGCCTCCTGAGTAGCTGGGACTATAGGTGTGCCACCATGCCCAGCTAATTTTTTTATTTTTTAGATACAGGGTCTTGCTATGTTGCTCAGGCTGGTCATGATCTCCTTGCCTCAAGTGGTCCTCCTGCCTCGGCCTCCCACAGTGCTAGGATTACAAGCGTGAACCACTGTGCTTGGCCAGAATTGTTTTCTTAATTTCATTTTCAGATTGTTCATGGCTAATTTAATGCTTCTTGACTCTTTTCCCAAGGGTTTGCTTTTCCTACTCCTTGTAATATATCCTTAAGGAATTCTTTTATGTTAATAAAATAAATTTCTTAATGGAAACTTCTCTTAGTCTCTATCTGAAAATGTCTTTATTTCACACTTATTCTTGAATGATAATTTAATTGGGTATAGAATTCTGGGGTCAGTGGTTCTGAAGATATTTTCCTATTATATTTTGGTCTTATTTCTTGCTAGTGAAATGTCAGATCTCAGTTTAATTAATGTTCCTTTGCAGGCAATGTGTCTTTTTTTCTGGTTGTTTTTAAATTGTTCTAAGGTTTATTTTTGAGATTCCACAGTTTTACCATATGCACCTAAATGGAATTTATTTTATTTATTCTACTCAATATTTCTTGTGCTTCTTAAATCTGAGGATTTGTGTTTTAATCCTAGAAATTTCTCAGCTATTAGATTTTTAGAATATTGCATTCTCTCTAGTTTCTCTTTCTAGAGTTCCTGTAGATACTATACTATTCTCCCAGTGTTTTTATTTTTGTCATTAAAAAATCTTATTCTGAACTGTATTTGGAGTACTTTTCAGTTCTATATTCTAATTCTTTGTTATGCTTTTCTATTTAATACAAAGTAAGGGAGTTAATTATCCTCAAAAAGAATATTAATATTAAATCTTAAAAGGAGTACTGGAGTTTCATCGGTGGGAGGGGGAAGTTCTCATAAAAAAAGATAATATACTTCCCCCAATCTTACTCCTTAAAAATAAAGAATGGCCCTAAAGTGGCTGTAATTTTTTAAATTAATACTTGTTAAATGATTGAATTTATGCTAAGGGAATTTCTCTGAAGTGGTGGTGGGAAAAGGCCATATATTTCATGATTATAATTTAATGTCCCACTTTTACCTGTTGAGCCTTGACACCAATGAGTCAATAGGGTGCAAAAAACTATGCACTTTGGGATCAACCAGACTTGGGCTCAAATGCCAGCTTTGCTATTAGCCAGTTATGGGTCTTGGCAACTTATTTTAACCTCAGTGAATTTTTCTGAATCTTAATTTTATCATCTATAAAATAAATATATGAGTGTTATCATGATGAACCAATGGCATGATATTAATATATATAAAGTGTCTTGTGAAAAGCCTGGCCAACAGCAGGTGTTTCATAAAAGAAATAATAATTATTATTTCTTATATAAGAATTTTAATCAGAACTGGTGCCGTCGTGCGTGTTATCCTTTTTGGTATTTGAGATCTTCTTATCAGTCATGTCCCATCATGACCCATTTGCTGTGATCTGACCTCCCTAGGAAACATAGATTAATAATTAATCCCGATAAGAGATGGAATAATTTGCTTGTGGAAATGCCTGTGGTAAGTGATATTTCACACTTGAAAACCCCAAATAAAACATTGCGGGGTCCTTTCTTGCATTAGATGATGTAATGCAAAGTCTACCTGGGAGCCACACCCTGCAAGAAAGACCTGTAGGACTCTTAAAAAATAAATGCTTAGAGAAGTGATTCAATCAAAATGGAACTGTTATAAACACACTTTCCCTGTAATTTTTCAAACTAATATATTTAATTCTGTCTGGCAGCATCCTCTAAATTGAATTCACATTAGATAGATGAGCCCATTGGAAGAATATAATACAGTGAAGCAGGAATTACTCTGCCTTTGATGGGAGAAGTCAGAGTTTCCAAAAGGTAAGGCTGCCTTATGCTCGGGGTGTGACGGCAGATATTGCCTTCACTGGGCTGTCCTCATGAATTCTTTCTCTTGTGATATTTATGACAGGAAATAGGATTTTCCTGTAAACGTGTTTTAGTGATTAACACTTCCATACATACGTGCAGCGCGTTCAGGTCTTTTCCTTGGGTGGGCTGCATGATTGTACAGCCACCAGAATGTGGCTTAAACCCCATCTTCACTAAACATCAGCTAGCCTTTTCCCTGCAATGCACATTACATATGCCATCACTGCCCAGGGCACAAACAACGCTTGGGCCCTCGGCAGAATGGTGATCCCATTGTTAATGTCACTAAACTATTTAATAAGGAGGGGGAAACCTTAAGTAACTTACTGACGTTATTACTCATAATAGCTAATTTTTTTTTTTGAGGCAGGGTCTCACTCTGTCACCTTGGCTACAGAGCAATAGTGTCATCATAGCTCACTGCAACCTTAAATTCCTGGGCTCAAGTGATCCTCTTGCCTTAGCACACCTAGTACTACAGGTGCGGACCACCACACCAGGCTAATTTTTAGATTTTTGGTAGAGAAGGAGTCTCGCTATATTACTTAGGTTGGTCTCGAACTCAAGGCCTCAAGCGATCCTCCCTCCTTGGCCTCCAAAAGTGTGGGGATTACAGGCGTGAGACACCCTGCCCAGCTGTATATTCATCATATAGTCTGTATGCCTGATCCTATGCTAAGCGCACACCTGTATTAATATGTTTATATTTATACCATATATGTTAAATTTAGTCTTCACAATAACCTTGTGGTAGAGGTGCTGTTATTAGCCACATCTTCTACATGAGGAAAATGAAGCATAAGGAATTAAGTACCTTGCTCAAGTTTGGGGAGCTGGATCCATGCCTGGGTAGGCTGGCCCCCACAGGGAAGTGGTCTTAACCTCCTCCACACAAGTGTGAAGAGTCCTGGGAGTTTCTGAGGGCTACACTCTCTATCCTCAGTGATCCCTGGAGTCAACTGACATATGGAAGCTATGTGTCTACCACCTGTCTAAAGTGTAGCCCCTCCAGATACACTGTCCAAAGGCTAAAATTTGGAAAATTTAGCTCTGCTTTAATTTAAGTTGTATACTCACCTTGTCTTATACTTACCTTAACAACTCCACTGTCATTTAGGCAATAGTTCTCTCCCTCCCTCCCTTCCTTCCTTCCTTCCTTCCTTCCTTCCTTCCTTCCTTCCTTCCTTCCTTCCTTCTTCACATTTGCTAAGGGCTTTGGGGATAAAAAGTAAAAAAAAGAGGAAAAAGAGGAGAAAAAATTGTCTTTCCTTGGAAGCCTTGCATTCTAGCTCAGGAAACAGGCTTTGTAAATGTGAGAATGACATGGCAGTGTTTGGCCACAAACTGATCACCTGTTAGACAGCTCAGGCAGAGCCATCTTAATGTCCCTAGCCCCTTCCTCACATGTTTGGCCTCTGGCCTAGCCTCTCTCTGATGGGGTTAATTCACCATGTCCCTGCTCTGTGGCCTTCACAGCCCTTACTTTGCACTGGTGCCCAAGGGCCTTCTTGATAGAGCAGGGGACAAAGTCCTCTGACCAAGTTGACATGGCAACTTTGAGGTGAAATGGAATTCCACCTCCTAAGCTGGCAGAAGGTACAACCAGAACATTAAATTGGCTTTAGCAAACAGACTAATCCTTACATATATTGAGGGGTCTAGAAACTTTGGGCAAGTGTTTCAGAAAGACCTTCTTACCTTTAGACATGATGATTATAAAATAAAGAGACTTCTAGTCTCATCCTTGTCTAGGTAGAGTTGCTTTTAGCTCTTTGAAGCAAAAGCAGCCCCCTGGAGCCCTGTCCTCCTGATCACCTCCCATCCTTCCTTTCCCACGTGAGTCATTGCCAGATGGGACCTTTAAGATCAGAGTAACTGATTTTCCCAAGGTGACCACCTCCTACTACTGGTTTATAGACCAAAAAAGGTGTTTGATGTAAATACTTTATAGAACTTCTAAAACATCTAGCTCAAAAAGATTATTTTTCCTTAAAATTATCTTTTATAATACATACACAAAGTCAGAGTATAAAATAGCCTAACATTTATTTATCAAAACTCATCAAATGGTATATCTCAGTAAAGTTGATTTAAACTGGAAAAAAACCCCTCTGGTAATGACATTAAAAGTGAGTTCCTCTCACTTCCCGGTCCCCCAGCCACCCTGCCCCTCCCTAGAGACCACAACTGTTATCGTTTTTTGTGAAAGGTGGGCTACCGCCTTCTAGAGATAATTCCCTGTGTTGTAGAAACCATTCCGTAGCAGGACCGGCAGTGCTGCCTCATTCTTTTGATGGGCAGGATAGTTGCCTGCATGACTATAGCATAGTATGCATACAAGTTCTAATACACGTTAAAATAACTTTTAGGTTGTTTGCAATCTTCTGTTATCACAAACAAAGCTTGTATATATCTATAGAATAAGTTCCTCTAAGAGGAATTATTGGGTCAAATGGTATGTAGACTTTACAAACTGTGATATTGTTTAAATATACAAAAAAGTAGAAAAAATAATGTAACTAACAGTCTACCCCACATTATTACATCTCAACATGGAAAATCACATTTCATTTGGGAAGCACTGAAGTGTAAAGTCACTAACTTGTGGGTTATATATTAATTTATTTGGAATAAGTTTATTTAATTTTGCTCTAAGATCTGGAAGCCTGCATCCAAATGCTGCTAGGATTGTAAATGTATTCTATCTAGTAGCCTCAGCTATGTTCCAAGTGGACTGTTTTTTCTAACCCATCAACTGTGTGTTCCTCAATATAGTTCTTTGTTATGCTTGACCCTAATCAAGGAGAGTACTCAGGCCTGGCCTGACAGGCTGTGGGACCTGGCAAAGGCCTGAATTAGCTAAAAGGTGACTGCATGGATCATGTAGCGTCTACCACAAGTGTCCTGGCATACAAGGAAGTGACTTTACAGGGACTAGTTTTATTCCTTATAAAAAGATGGAGCGAGCTTTCAATTTTATTTTTATCATTTAAATTGATTGTGGCTTAATTTCCTTGTAAAGGCATATGCATGTGTATATGTGTCTGTGTAATTTTCATTATACTTTATCTCAAACCTTGTGCCTTCTGCAAGGATTTTAATTATGTTTTCTGAATTGGAAGCCAGGAGTTCTCTTTGTGCCCCATCCCCTGTGCCTGCATGTTCATTTTCTTTGTAGGTTGCATTTAGGGTTATGGTTTTCCAGTTATCCTTTGAACAATGATTGCAGGATTAAACACAGCCTCATAACTTTCAGCCTATTATTTGTGTAGATGGCTCTCTGGTGCTTTTAGGTTTACTTAATTAAAATTCTAGAATGCTATGATTCCAGTGGGTTGCATTAGTCTCACTCTTAGCTTCCTTTTCTCGTCTAGCCTTTTTCTTTGTAAGAGTTCTTACTGAAGACAACAACAGCTTAGCAGACTGCTGAACTCATAATTCACTACTTTAAAAAAATGTTAAAATAATTAAAAGCATTTGTTGTCAAGCACAATGGAGTTCAACTCAGCTTGATATTTATACATTTTGCTGCCCCAAGAATGTAACTAATTTATCCTTAAAATGAAAAGGGAAAGGCTGCAGTTTCCAGAGATTTTCTATCCATCTTGATTTCTTTTTTTTTTCCTTTGAGCTGAAATTATTCCATCAGTTAACCACCGAGTTTGAATGTATAATCTAGTTGTAGTTAAATAGGAGCAAACAAATGACACATATTATCTTCTCCCTTTATACCCAGGATGGAGTAAGATTAACACAACACAACTCATTGCCCAGGCATGCAAGTGTTGCCACGCACGGACAGACCTCTCGTGCCTCCACTGCGTTCCCTCCCTCGGTGACAGGAAACCCATTGGATTCCAGCACCCGCAGAGCTCTGGCAGCCATTGGCCCCAAAGCTCTACCTCCTGCCTTTCGGTAGGTAGAGGCCAGCTGGGGACGTGGCCAATCCGACCGTTTGTATCCGGGAGAACGTGGCACAGTTAGCTATTTAAATCCAACTAGGATGATGTAAGCACGCGGGGCTGAGAGGGTTAGGAGGAAGGCGAAAGGAAAGGAGAAATCTTGTCAGGCTGCATTATTTACAGTGAGCTGGGCAGAGGCGAAGCAGAGACTCACACACCCGCCACCTGTGCACTGAGCCACCCTCCTAGCACTTGCTCCTAGCTCCGAGAAAGGGGGCAAGGGTGCAGAATTCATCTGTGCAGATAGGGAATGGTTTAATTTCAATTGTAATTTCTTTTTCCTTTTTTTTTTTTTTTTACTGGAAGAACATTTCTCTTCTTAGATAAAAATGCACAAACTTGCTCTGGTTTCCAAATTGCTGGCCTATCGCAGGAAAGCTGGGCCATCCCTCTCTGCTGATAGAAGAGTGTTTGCCCCCTGCCTTTGGAAGTCTGAGGTCCCAAATAATCCCGAGTGAAATTTTGCAAAAGGAGTTCTCAGCTTGGATGCCATTTTGCAGCTCAAGCAAGTGTTCAAGCTCAGGAAATGATGCTAGAGACACTTTGAAAAATGTAAGATGGGCTTGACACAGCATTGGCACAGGATATGCGAGGGGAAGCGGCGTGGAGAGCGGCGATAACGGCCTGCGGCTGGCAGGCGGAGAGCCACGTTCGCACCTGCCGGTCCCTGCAGCGGGAGCGGGCTCAGCGCACTGAGGCGAAAGGCTCCTGGCGCTGCAGGGTGAGGGCGGGAACCTGGCTGTGCTGCCCAGGGGCCCGCGGGGGACCGGCTCTGAGGAAGGAGGGGAGGCCCCCTTGGGGCACCTTCTTACAAGCAAAAGCTTGGCGTGCACCTGTACGCACACACCACACCTTTAAAAACTGTGTCAGGTTTGGTTGGTTTGGGCCCTGCTCACACTGCTTTTCCAAAGCACCACCTGTCAACAAAGCTGGCTTTGGGACAAGAGAGGATGCAGCATTTGTCCTGGGGTTTCTCGGGAAAAGGCCACACGATGCCACGCACATAGGTGCCCAGTTAGAATTAGATGGAAGGGACAATGCTGGTTGCTGTTAATGACGGGGTAAGTCGATACAGGCAGGATGCCTGTGTCCGAGCAAATCCGCCCCAATGTGATGGGACCTGTGGCCGGGCTGCTCAGGAGGGTGGCGTTTCTTCCAGATGGCCGTGGCCTTTGTGTCAGGGAAGGGCTTTTCTTCAAAGCATAAGGCTCTCTGGTTGTGATGCAGATTAGAAATCCATTTTTATTTGCCACTTTAAAAAAAAAATGAACGTTCTGGGCACAAGAAAGATAGCTTTTGAACCCTGGGAGTGTTCTGTGTGTTTGAGGACATGTGGCAAGACCCTCTCAGATAATTATTAATAGCAAGCGCTCCTGGCAGTGTGGCATCATTCCTGGCTTCAGCCCCCAGCATTGCTCCGAGACCTCTGCTCGTGAAGATGAACATTTATTCAGTACCTTTTGCAGTAGAGAGGGGAGGGGATGACTTGATGATATGGATTTAGAGCAATTATATTTGGTTTGTGTTTCTCCTGTGCTAGTCTTCCTTTAAGGATCAAGAGGGAGAGATTTAATACCTGTTTTCCATTTTGTTTTCTTAATGTTTTGTTTTGTTTTCTTAATGTTTCTATAATGTTAACAAGTATAGGAAAGCAGAACTATTCAAAGACCCCCTTCCCTGACAAATTCTGCAAGAATTCTGAAGGGGTCACCAAATTTAAATGGTACAAAAGGACCGATACAGGCAATGATGTGACAGCGATAGCAAAGAGGATAATTCCACAATATTACAAAATCAGCAAACAGTGTCTCAACCCCATCAAGCACTCCCAGGCATAGGAAGATAAAAATCTGTATCTATGTATAGATATGATTCTTGCATCAAGGTGCTCAATATCTAGTGAAGGAAACAAACATGTATGCAAAGGACTTGAGACAAGGCCCTTATGTGACAGAAATGAAGTGTAAACCGAATGCCACAAGAGAGCAGGGGAAGCATGACTCATTCTGGTAGTTGAGGCCCTTGAGTTTGACTTTGAAAAATGAGGGGATCTCAAAACGGAATACCCCATCTGAAACTCTGTAGCCTCGAAAAAATACTCTAAGTCTACATGAACAAATATAGCAAGATGTCCAATATAGACAACATGAAAAAGGAGGGTACTCTGCAATATGTGTAGAATTCCTACTTTTAGAGTTAAAATACATACAGTATATGCATAGTAGTTAAACTTTTAAGCTCTAACGACAGACTGGGTTAAAAATCCCAGCTCAGTACTTTCAGTGGATTGAGTTATTGCTGAAAAATATTTACTATCTCTCCCTTGGGGAACGTTATTCTTTCCTGTTTGTTAATACTAGGCTTGTCATATGACCTGCTCTGGCTAATGAAATGAGAGCAGACGTGATATATATCCCCCTCCCAAGTAGACACTTTAAGAGCCACTGTTTGCTTCTGCCATGTTCTATTCCCCCAATGTTATGATGATCAGCTAAGTGCCGGAGACAGGGTGCTCCTTCAGCTTCAGCCTGGGCCCTGGAACAAAGACAACATGGAACAGAGCCCCAGCTGACTCATGGTTATCATGGTTCATTAGCATAAGCAAGAAATAGACCTTTGTTATCGTCGGCCACTGAGATTTTGAAGATGCTTGTTACCATAACATAACTCAGCCTAAGTGGACCGATGGACACCATGCAACCTGTGGGATCTTATTTGACCTCATTAAACCTCAGTTTTCTTGTCTATAAAATGAGGGTAATAATAGTACCTACCTCAGAGGATCATCGTGAGGTTAAAATGAATTAATGCTAAAGCATATAGCATGAAGTTTTGTACTCCATGCTAAGAATTCAGTGTTAGCTCTCTTTATAAATGCGTAGAAAAATATCTGGAGGAATACATACCAACCTATTAATAGTAATTCTCTATTCAATGTGAGATTACAGGTGACTTTCATTTCCTGCCTTATTTCTTTAATCAAATTGTTATAAGAAGCATATACTATTTTAATAATCATAAAAGGTAGATAGTTCCACTAGGGAAAATGAACAAAAAGCACCAAGTACATTTCTCTATCACAAAGCCTGTTGTACCAAACTCAGCTCATTGAGGAAGGAGCCGTGTGCATTGCCCTGTACTGCCAGTGTCTGGGCCCCTCTGTGGCATAGGACAGGCACTCAGTGCATGTTTACACACGTGCAATTGATCAGTTTCTCATCTGGTGACTGGGTGGATGGCAGGTAATGACCTACTATATCTGAGATGAGAAGTACGAAAAGAATTCTACATGGGATATGAACTTGGAATGTGGGCATTCTGAATTTCTCATAGATGTATTAATCAGGCAGCTAGAAACATGAATTTGGATAGCAAAGATATCAATGTATGAGTCATACAAACAGAGGTGATGACAGGTTGAGCATCCCAACATCCAAAATGATCTAAAATCTGAAACTTTTTAAACACGATGCTTAAGGGAAATGCTTATTGGACCATTTTGGGTGTTGGATTTTTGGATTTGGAATGCTCAACTAGTAAGTATAATGCAAATATTCCAAAATCTGAAGCACTTCTGGTCCCAAGCATTTTGGATAAGGAACATTCAACCCATAGTCAAGTCTGTGAGTATGAAGTGGGAGCACGAGCTCTCTGGGTCACTCTAGTCCCCACCACCCCAACTGTCCTCTCAAGACCAAGTTTGAGTATTTTTTAACAGTAGTATTCACCCCACAATTTTTACTGATCCTCTACCATGTGCCAGGCACTAATGGTACAGACGTGAACTGTAAAATCAAATCTACACTCAAGCAGTTTACATTTTATCCTGGTGGCAGACAATAGCCAATAACTGAATAGGTGAGACATAGTAGAGGGCTTCCTGCAGGGACAGAGAGAACCACACAACAGGAGGAGGGAAAGGGAATGCTGGGGGGTATGTTGTAATTCTCAACAGGGTAAGGCAAGGTAGGCCTGCTGAAGACATGACATGACGTTTGAGCATAAGACCTTAGAAAGGTGCAAGATATCTGTGAATCCTAGAAGAATGATCTAGACAGAGGGAACAGAAAGAGCAGAGACCTCGAGGAGGAAATATGCTTGTGTTTGAGGAACAGCAAGGAGGTGGGTGTGGCTGGAGCAGAATGAGTAAAGGGGTCAGTGGTGGGAGAGTTCAGAGAAATGATGAAGGGTGGTGGGTGGGGCAGGGGACAGGTCCCGGGAGGCCTTACAGCCAGCTGTTGAAGGAACTTTGACTTGTATTCTAAACAGTATGGGTGAGAAGCTCCTGCAGTTTGATTAGAGGAGTAACATAATCTGACTTAGGTATTAAACTGACCAGTCTGGTGACTATATTGAGAACCGACGGGTGAAGGGCAAGGGTAGACGCTGGGAGAACAGCAAGGAAGTTCTTGCAGAAATGAGCCAGGGAGAGGCTGGAGTGGTGGCAGTGGAGGTGATGAGAAGAGGTCAGATCCCGGATGCATTCACCAGTGCAGCCAACAGAATGTGCTCATGGGTTTGATGTGCGTGAGAGAAAGAGAGAAATCAAGGATAACTCCACGATTTCTGGCTTTAGTGAGGGGGTGGGGGATGAAATTGCTGAGAGGGAAAGACCTCAAGAGGCACAGTGTTGGGTGGGCAGTTAGGAGTTCAGTTTTAGACACGGTGACATTGAGGTGCCCCTTAGATATCTAAGTGGAGATGTGGATTAGGTGGTTGGAAAAGTGAGCCCACAGCTTGGGAGAGTAACCCATGCTGGCCCCGTACCGTCTGAGGCTCCTGGCATATAGGCAATGTTTAAGCTGTGAGAACGAATGAGATCACTTAGGGAGTGAGTGCGGGGAGAAAAGGAGTCTGAGAACTGAGTTCTGCCCCCCCCCCCCATTTAGAACAGGGTAGAAAAGCAACCAGCAAAGGAGAGTGAGTCGTCAGCCAGGGTGGAGGAGAGCCAGG